TGTCGTAGTTGGGGTCGTAGCACTGCAGACAGGCTGGCTTGCAGAGCTCTGCCTTGATGTTGTCGAAGGCTGCCTGCTGTGGTTGATCCCAAGTCCATGCGCGACCTTTGGACAACAGCTCTCGCAGTGGCTGGCTGAGGGCGGCGAGATTGGGAGAGAACTTTCCCAGTTGGTTCGCCAGACCCATGAACCTGCGGATGTCTGAGACGGTTTAAGGCTGACGGAAGCGCTGGATAGCAGAGGTCTTGCTGTCACCTGGTTGAATGCCGGCAGCAGTGAGCCGCACTCCCAAGAAGGACAGGTCAGAGGCGGCGAAGTCACACTTCGACGAATTGAGGGTGAGCCCTGCATCCACCAGGCGTCGGAGCACCGCGTAGAGACGACTATCATGCTCGGCACGAGTGCGGCCATGGACGAGGATGTCGTCCATTTGGCAGACCACACCCTCCAGGCCAGCCAGGATCTTCGACATGCGCTGCTGGAATATCTCAGGCGCAGAGGAAATGCCGAACGGCAACTTCGTGTAACAAAACCGACCAGCGGGGGTGATGAAGGTGGTTAGAAGCTGGGAGGGAATGTCCAGCGGGATCTGCCAAAACCCGCTGTTGGCATCGAGCTTCGTGAACACCGTTGAGTCGCCGATTTGGCCAAGAGTTTCGTCTACTGTTGGCAGCTGATGGTGTGACCGTCGGACGGCTTCGTTCAGAGGTTTCAGATCAGCACAGATGCGTACCGTGCCATTGGACTTAGGTGCGGCCACGATTGCAGCACACCAGTCAGTGGGCTCCACGACAGGGCGGATTACACCAAGCTGTTCCATGCGCTGAAGCTCGGTAGCCACTTTAGAGCGGAGCGGCAGTGCGATGTTTCGCGCAGCGTAGAGACACGATGGCTTGGCATCAGGTGAGAGCTCGATGTTGTACGGCTCGTTGAGTGACCCAAGACCAGAGAAGAGTGACGGAAATTCCTGCCGTATGTCTTGTGGGATAGCGTCGCCAGGTGTCGTCAGAGGCAGAGGTTCTGAACCGGCGGGAGCTGAGGAGTAGCTACCCGGCGCATCGTCCGTGGATTGACTGGGCTCCGGAGCGGTCGAAAGAGGTGTAGCGGACGCCGTGTCGCTGGAGAACAAACGTTTGATTAGACCAAGAGCGACGGAGTCAGGGCCCCCTAGGAGACATACGCGCAGGCCTCTGGCAACGTACACAGTGCAAGTGTGTGAAGAACCAGAGGTGGGAAAGACGAGCCGCGCGGAGAAGAGGCCCAATGTCTCGAGGTTGGTGTTGGCTGCACTGACGAGAACGTGCCAGCAAGGCTGGAGCTGCGGGGATGTGCTAAGGGAGTTGTAGACCTCCTCGGAGATGACAGACACATCGGCACCGGTGTCGACTTTGAATGGAACGGTAGTGCCATTGATGGTGAGCTGAACCTGCCAGCTGGGAGGGTGTGCGGATACAGCACCAACGTAGATGGGGACCAGATCAATAGATTCCTCAGACACGGAGCTGGGAGAAGCGACGGCATCGGTGCCCGGCGAAGACTCGGCCGATAGCGCACGGGCATGGCGGGATGAGCGGCAGACAGCGCCGTAGTGCCCGCGCTTGTTGCACGTTTTTTCGCGTGCCGGGCAGGCTGAGCGTGCGTGGGATTTGCCTCCGCAGTATCCACAGGCGTTAGAGGTGGAACCACGTTCGGAGGATGTAGGTTTGCCAGACGACCCACGATGCTGGACGGCGTGTACTGTTACTGGAGCACCTCCTAGCGGTGGAGCAGTCCGGCTCAGGTCTGACTGCGCGCGCGCAAACGCGTCAGCCAGCTTGGCCGTGTCAGTAGCACTCACTCGTGGTTGCTCCTGTACAGGCCGGCGCACTTCCGCAGGCAGGGTGGAGAGCAGCTGCTCGCGCACTATCTGGTCAGTCACGAACGGAACATCGATTGTGCCCCCGGACGCAACTGCGTGAGTGATCCATTTTTCGAACAAATCCCTCTGCCGGTGGTGGAGTTCCATGTACGTCTCGCCAGGCGAGGACAAATTTATGGACCTGAACTTCAGGCGATACTCCTCCGCGTCCAATCGGAAACGCGCGAGTACTGCAGTTCTGATGAGAACGAAATCCTTCGAGTCACCCACGGGCAGATTATTGTAAGCACTGCGAGCTTTGCCCTTGAGGTGGGGTACGATCGCCAAGGCTCGCCGATCGGGAGGCACGCCGTAACCAATGAGCAGGCGTTCGGCGGTAAGGAACCAAGCCTCCGCATTGTCGGTGTCCTCCAAAGGCTGTAATTTGGGAAAATTCCCGGGAGAAACCGAAGCCGGAGCGGGAGGCTGACTCGGCTGAGACAGATGCTGAAGTAGAGCAGTCGAAACGGTGGTCTGCTGCTGGAGGTGTTGCTGCTGC